AGGCGGCTAACAACAATAAAACCAATACAATAACAGTGTAAATAGAAATTCTAAATGATAAAAGCACTACAATCACCTTCAATAAGTTAGTGGTCTACACTTTCTTTTCTTGAAAGCCCATACTCAATCCTGCATTATTTACTAGAGACCACTGACAGGCTATACAAGGGAGGGATACAGTACTTATCACATTTCCAAAAGGCTAAAGTCAAGGTGACATACGCAAACAAGGTCATCCTTCATTATCACATTAGGCCCTGGGGAACGAAGTCTTCTTGGCAGGGATAGATTAATAGCTCTTGAGCTCACATAAACACTGTGACACTAATATACTGGCCTGTTATATACATTTCACATATTTAAGGATTTTAATATTGAGAGCAATACTATGTAGACAAACATTTCATGTGTGGATACTTTACAAGCTTCTCACCACATAAGAATAAAGCTGGACAATTATATATCCTAGTAATTGCTATTAAAATTGCTGAATATGGAAGTCTTTCCCTGATTTGGTAGTCTTGTATACTTTAAAATTCTGTTTGGTGTTGCTGTGTTGTTTTTAATAGGGGACAGTCTTTCATCATGTGATTTCCATCATCTACACTGCGGAGCATTTTAGACCTAGAAGGACTATGATAAACATTTTTAGCATGTAAATTATACATTAAGGTGACAAATTATTCAAACATTCATGGACGTGAATGTACTATAACATTTATACAGATGTGTGGGGATGCTAGTTTACAACATTTATCTGGTTCAACTACAAAATGCCTTTCTATAGGGAATGACCACTATTTCCATTTTACACTGGTTGCACCATATAAACCAGCTGTCCCCAACCTTTTTAGCTCCACGGACCGGCTGGGGAAGACGGGGCACCCCCTATGCTCATGTGCATGCGTGACGGAGAGCGTGCTTGCTCGTGCGCAAAGGAGTGCGGGCTGCTTGTGCGGACACATGTGCTTGTGCGCATGTGCAAAGGGCCGTGCAGCACTCAGGGGGCACTCATGCACATACGCGAAGGGGTGGGGGAGCGCTCATGTGGGCACAGGCGCAAATGGGTTGTGCGGGGGGAGTGCGTGTGGGGTTGGGGGTGAGGTCCGTCTCCACAGCCCGGTCTGACTCAGGCCACAGACCGGCACTGGGCCACGGGTTGGGGACCTCTGATATGATTTTTCGCAAAGGAAACAAACTGGCGTGCTCAGCATCATATAATGCATCAGTGATGAAAAACAGTTAACCCAAATCTCCTTCACAGTTATAAAAGTAGCTACACTTGACACATATAGTTCTGGTTGCTCCATCTTAAAATGGAACACAAAAAAGTATGGAAAGGAACAAGCAAAGGATCAGAGTGTTTGGAGAGAGGTTCCTATCAGGAGAAGTTACATTCTTGGGGATCTTTTCAGTTTTCAAAAAAGGTGCTAAGGATGGATATGACAGATGCTTATAAAATCATGCAAAGTGTAGAAACAGGAAATTAAGAAAAGTCCACTTCAACACTAGTATCTGATGGTCTTCTGGAAACAGATCAGCAGCAGATTCAGAATTGACAACTGAAAGTACTTCATGCAATATGCAATTCATTTATGGATTTTACTGCTACAAATAAAGTCAAATACAGTAAAGCTATAGCTAAACTGGTTCTAAAAGGGGATTGATTTATCAGTCTGCAAGTGATTATTTGTCACAAAGGTTAAACAGAACCTCCAGGTTCAACAGCAGCATACTGAATACCAGTAGCTGGGAAAAATACTGTACTACAGTATTGCCTTCATGTCCTGCTTATGGGCTTTCTAGAACCACTAAGTTCACCACTATGGGAAAAGGCTGCTGGATCCGGTGGTGCTGATTCAACAGGGTTCTTACATTCATTTTGATCTCAGGTCCCATTTCCCACCCTCATAAATCGTATGTGGCTTAGAATATGAAGCAGGACTGGGAGAAAACCAGATACTAGTAGAAGATGACACGAACCAAATATGAATGAACATACCACATAGTCCATTTTTTTCTTATTACAAGCCATCAAGCTGCTGCCAACATATGGCAACCCTATGGATGAGCAATATCAAAGATGTCCTGTCCTCAACAGCCCTACTCAGCCTGTGAATCCCTTTAGGGAGTCAACATATCTCATATTTGGTCTTCCTCCTTTCCTGCTACTCTCAACCTTTCCCAGCATTATTGCCTTTTCCAGAGAATCTTGCCTTCCCATAATGTTCTCAATGTAGGATAGCCTCAGTTTCATCATTTTTACATCCAAAGATAGTTCAGGCTTGATTTGATCTAGGACCCACTTGGTCATCTTTCTGACAATTTAAGGTATTTGAAAAGCTGTCTTCCAGCACCCTATTTCAAACAAATTATTTTCCTGTCAGCTTTCTTTGCTATCCAGCTTTCATATCTGTACATAGTGATTGGAAATACAAGTGTGTGAATGATCTTGGTTTCAATCTCCATGATGACCTTTTCTAATTTCTTCATTACTGCCCTTCTGAGTCTCAGTCTTCTGACTACTTGTCTACAGTCTCCATTTGGACTGTGATTGAGCCAAGGTATACAAAATCTTTAACAATTTGTTTCTTCATTGTCAAAGTTGTTTAGTTCTTCTGTAGTCATATTTTTGTCCTTTTAGTGTTCAACTGTACTTCTGCTTTGGCACTTGCTTCTTTCACTACTCCTTTCTGCCAGTAAGAAGTTCTATTACTCACGTTTCTTCCTCCAATTTTCACTCCTTCTTCATCTGAATCTAGTCAGGCTTTCCACATGATATCTTCTGCATATAGACTGAACAGGTAATTTCTTCTGAAACTCTTTGGTGTGTTTCAACAGCTGACAGATATGTGCAATATGATCTTGAGTGTCTCTTCCTTTTCAGAATCAAACCTGAACATCAGGCATTTCTTGTTCTACATAAGCCTTTGTTGCAAAACCTTGAACATAACCTTTCTTTCATGAGAAATTAGAGCAATGGTCCTATAGTTACTACACTCCCTGGCATCTCCTTTCTTGGGAAATGCAATGTATACTGAACATTTCAAGTCTGAGGGCTATTGATTTATTTTCCATATACGTTGGCAAATTCTTGTTAGAATTCTGACAGATTCAGTCTCTGCAGCTTGAAATAGTTGTATCACTATTCTGTCTACCCATGGTAATTTATTTCTCCTCACTGCATTCACAGCAGCTTTCACAGCAGCCTTTACTTCACTTTTCAGAACTGCAGGTTCTTTATCATAGGATTCCTCTTCAAAGAAGGTACTGTATCATCCTTTTATCTCTTCTGTATAGTTCTTCAGTGTACTGCTTCCACCTTCTCTTTATTTTATCCTGATCAAATAGTGTGCTTCCCTGTTGGTCTTTCAGCAGTCCTAGTCTAGGCATAAATATCCCTTTGATGTTTTTGGATCTCTTGTTTTCCTTTCAAACTCCCCCTCTATTTCTTTGCACTGGCCACTAAAATAATTCTCTTTGTCTCTAAGGGGCAGTTACTAAAAAGCTGCATTCAGGATTCAGACCCCATTTCAGTCCCCTTTTACTTTTCCTTCTTGACTATCCTTTACAATTTTAAGTGTTTCTTTCATTTAGGATTTTCTTTTCTTTCATTACAGGAATTGCATTTTTGTCTTCTTCTCTATTGATATCTCCAGTTTCGATCCATAGTTCTTCTGGTTCAGTCAATTGAATTTACTAATGCAAATCTACTCTTTATGTGGACTTTAACGTCATCAGAAATATTGTTTAAATTATATTTTGATACAAGGATTTTTCAGTGATCTTTTTCAGCTTTACTCTAATGTTGGATATTAGCAGTTTGTGATCAATACCATAATCTACCTCCAGTCTTGTTTTGGCAGAAAGAATACAGCTTCTCCCTGCCCTTACAATTATGCTGTAATCTATTTGATTTCTGCACTGACCATCTGGTGATATTCATATGTCTGTTTGGTTGCTTGAAGCATATACAGTGGTGCCTTGCTTAGCGATCGCTCCATTGAGCGATGAAATCGCTTAGTGATGGGGTTTTGGCCATCGCCAGAGTGATCGATTAGCGATGGCCCCTATGGGGAAAAATCGCTTTGTGATGATCGCGGGGAAGCGATCATGGCAAAGTGACCCTTTTTGCACAGCTGATCGGCGGTTCCAAAATGGCCGCCTGCTGTTTTGCCTCCCTTTAGAGGCACTGAAAATGGCCGCCCCTATGGAGGATCTTCGCATAAGGTCAGTTTTTAAGCCCATAGGAACGCCTTAAACATGTTTTAAAGCTTTTCTATGGGCTTTTTAAAATCACTTAGCGATTAAATCGCTTAGCAACGTTTTTCCTGGAACGGATTAACGTTGCTAAGCGAGGCACCACTGTATTTGCAATAAACATATTGCTGGCTTCATAGAAACTCTATGAGTCAGTCTTCGGCTTCATTTCTGTTCCCTAGACCAAATTTTACAACAACAATTTATTCTATTTTGCTTCCTACTTCTGTGTTCCAGTTACCTATGATTATAAGCACAACTTATTTCAGTGGTGTAATCCATTTCCTCTCAGATGCTTGCATGAAAGCTTTTAATCTGAACTTCAACATCTGCTGTTGAAGCATAGACATGAATGGTGGTTTTGTTGATAGGTTTTCCAGAGAGTCTGATTGATATTATTTGGTCAGACCTTGCAATATAGCCCCTAACTGCCTCCATATCAGTGCCACTCCATTTCTTCTGCGTTGTCATTTCCAGAGTAGAACATGTTGTACTTGTCTAAATGAAAATATCATGCATTCTATTTCTTGTTTTACAGTTTCCAGTTTACCTTGATTCATACTTCTCATGCTCGATTTTCCAACTGTATGTGTTGTGCAGCATCAGACTTTCCTGTCACTTCTGTGCATGTCGGCAACTAAATGTCCTTTCAGTTTTAAATGAATTGCATCATTAGCAACAGCGCTATCTGTACTTTTCCTTAGCTCTTTCCAATAGCTGATAATTATTTGTTTGTTTGTTTGTTTGTTTATATTTATTTATTTATTTATTTTACTGGATTTCTACCCCACCCATCTAGAGCAAAGGTCTACTCTGGGCAGCATATCTGTGACCCTCTGTGACCCTTCCCACCTTAAGTGAACCTGCTAGGACTCCAGTCTTTTAAAGGCACCTGGCCTCTTGACAATATTGCTCTCAGCTTCACTGGCATATTTATTTTATTTATTTATTAAATGTATACCCCGCCCCTCTAGACCATGTCTCCTCGGGGCGGCTAACAACATAAAATAAATCAATATAAAAATATATAAATACAATTGCAATATTAAGACAATTAATTTAAGAAAGGAGTACCAAGATGGGACAAAATAAGAAAAGAAGAGAGAGAGAATCATTCACCATATTAAGGTGTGTATCCAAGAAGGGGAGTCCATTTTTAGGCACACACTAGAGCTCTGCATTATGGAGAAAACCAAATAGTTCCAAAGGAGAACAAACCTATCCATTCTGAAGGAAACCAACCCTGAGTGCTTACTGGAATGACAGATCCTAAAGATGAGGCTCCAATACTTTGGCCATTCATGAGAAGAGAAGACTCCCTGGAAAAGACTCTGATGTTGGGACAATATGAAGGCAAGAGGAGAAGGGGACGACAGAGGATAAGATGGCTGGACAGTGTCATCGAAGCTACCAACATGAATTTGACCCAACTCTGGGAGGCAGTGGAAGACAGGAGGGCCTGGCATGCTGTGGTCCATGGGGTCATGAAGAGTCGGATACAACTTAACGGCTAAACAACAACAACAACTCTGCAACTCTAAGTTATCCTGGGAGAGGCCCTACTTGGCAGCAGTGATGATAGCCCCCCACCAAACCAACAACTCAAAGGAGCTTTTCCAGGTACCGCAAGCAGTATTATACCCTAATAGTTGTACAACCTAAAAGCAAACTATCTTCAGCTCATTGTTACTGTTTAGTTTGATCCTTTCCTGACAAACGTCTGATCTGAATGTCATAGTTCATACAAACTAGAAGGAAACAACCACAGTCCTCCAGATGGTGCTGATCTGTAGCTCCCGTCAGTATTACCAAGGGGCATGCTAGCTACGGCTGACGGGAGATGCAGTTCAGCTGTATCTGAAGACAGAGAGTTACTTGTTTCTGATATAAACTGTGTCCTAGTCAGAAATGACTGCCTGGATCAGTGTGGTTGAGTTTTCCTCAAGATCATCAACAGAAACACTTCCAAAATCTTGGGATATTCCAAAATTATCAAATCCAGATTCAAATTCAACATTTCTAGATAACTTCTAACATGTCATCATTTTACACCATTACATTTATAACCGACCAAGAAGCACACATTAGTAGTCAGTGGTTCAGACGAATATCAAAGACTGGAAAGAGAAGTTTTAGTAAAGTTCCTTTCACTTCTGTGCATGTCAGCCACTAAATGTCCTGACTTGTTAACCTAGCATCCCTTCTAGCAGAACAACTTTCTATGTAAACGCCTTATGCATTTCAGAATAAGCTTTAAGCCAAAATGTGCAAACATTTCTCACCAGAGAAAACTGCAAACTGGACAGTTCACGGCTGTTACGACTAATAGGAAACAAACCAACCAACCCCAAACCCACCAGTCTTGGGTTGATGTGGGTTTTTAGGTTCAGCTTGAGCCGGTAGATAAAGCTATTGTCCTAAATTTTGAGCTTTCTCTGCCTGCATCAGCAACCCTTTCTACAATCAGGCCTTACTTGCAAAGCTTGAATTAAGTCCACATGCAATTAACGCTGCAGTTTATACACTGGCTTGGCTTTTAGAGCCTGAAAAGGTCAGGTAGCTTCGGTGGCCTTGGAAAGAGCAACGGCAGCAGGAAGTTAATGATTAAGGAAGCCGACCAGAAAATTACCAAATGGAGAAGGAAGGCGCCCGCGAGAGAGGCAGAAATTGCACCTGCTATCTGGCGCTATTAACACGATAAGCAGGGAGAAGAGCGGAGGGAAGGAGCAAGCCAAGGGAAGAGATGCCATTTTGGGATGAGGAAACGACTGCTTACCCAGAGGGGTGAAAAATCGTGGCCGGGGGCTCCTCCCGCCCTCAAAGGGGGGACCCTCCCCTTTACTAACGCGGCGACACCCCTTGGCCAACCTCCTCCTGCACCTGCTGCTAACGGGCAGCTCCCGCAATCCGCTTTTTTTCACCTCTTCCCCTCCTGAGGGAGCAGGGGAAGCACGCCGTCCCCTTTTTACCCCTCACCGCAGCTGCTGGCTGGCTGGCTTGTTCCTGCTGAGGTGGCTCCTGCCCAGCCTTCGCGACCCCGCCTTGTGGTGGTGCAAAAGCAGAAGCCGGAGCCGCCGCCTCCGCCTCAGGAAGAACCTGCTTTTCCAGCCTGCAGGGCCTGGGCCAAAGCGTCCAGCTCGCTTCCGCTGGCCCGCACCTACCTTGTCAGCAGCTCGGAGGGGAAGAAGCAGGGCGGCGGCGTCGTCGTCCCCCCCTTCCTCCTTCTCCTCCTCCTCCTTCGCTGCTTCCCAGGGACGGGTGTTGCTCTGCGCGCCCCGCTTGGGAGGCGGCACCTTCGGGCCGCCCTTCCCTTCCCCAATTAATTACCTCAGGCGGCCCTCCCGGCTCTCCACCGCGATAGCTTCCAGGTATCCCAGCGCCGCCAGCGTCACAAGGCCCCCGTCGGGGAGGAGAACGGCCTCGAGCGGGGCGGGGCGTCGGCCACCTCCATTCCCCCCCCCGCCTCTCTCTCTCGTTTTCCCTCCTTTTTTGTTCTGCCTCTCCCGTGGCCTCCCGGGGAGCCTCCCCGCTCCGGCCTGCCTGCCAAGGAGCGCAGCCTGCCCCTCAGCTTGGTGCCGCCTGGCGCGGCTTGGCTTCCTGCTATTGTTCTGCCTCGGTCCCCGATCGCCCTCCGCCAGAGATGATACTGCGTCTTGGAGCCGCTCCCGCTTTCTCCCCCCCACTCCTTCCTCTCCCTCGCTGTGTTGCCACAGTCTTTCCACATCTACGAAGGAAGGGCCAAAAAGAGCGAAGGCTTTCCTGCACCAACCGATCTCCCTCAGACCCATAAACATCCCCCTTCCTGGGCTCCTGGACTTTTGACAGCTGAATGACAGTCAAAAATAAAACCGGTGAAGCGTTTCGCATCTAGGGCTCTGAATTCACCTGTTGAGCACTGCCTGTAGGGCATAGGGTAAAGGCACAGGAGCCCCGCCAGGAAAAAAAGGTGGCAATCCTATTTGCAAATATTCCTTTGCAAACATAGCAGCTGTTTTCCGGTGCTATCGTTCTAGGGCTTATAAATCCAGGTGTTATTTTACCGTATCTGAAGTACCTCACAGGGTTGTTTGGATAAAGCAGGAAGAAGGAGAGCTAGATATGATTTCTTATTGGAAGTAAATCAGGATATAGATTTGTACTTTTGACTAATAAGCGTTTACACTATTTTAGATACAGTCTGAATGTGTGCCAACACTGGTTCTCTGTACCTTTTCTTTGTCTTTGTACCTTTTCTTTGTCTTTGTAGTTCTCATACTGTGTATCCATTTCTGTAGTATTCCTGTAATTTTATTTTACCTTAAGCTCTCAGAGTGGCGATTAACGTTGTAGATGGCTCTCAGGTGGCCTCTGCATTTTTTGCACCCCAAAATGCCTGTAGCCATTTCCCATTTCATTTTTGGGGTCATTTTGGTTGAGGGTCCAAGGAACAGAAAATAGTCCTCTGGAGCTGCCAAAGATGTCCACATCTGCTCTACCCCATCTTTGTACAGATGCTGAGTTCTGCTGTCCCTTCAGCGTCAATTTAATCTTCCATTAGTGATATGTTATCTACTTGTTCCTACTTGAACAGGTGCATAAGAAAGGAATGTTGGCCTTCATTTGAATAACAAGCATTTAACATATGGAGTGAACATTTTGTAGGTTTTTTTGAACATCTAAGTCACAAGTCAGGACTGTTCTTTTCACCACAGGGAACTGCATAAGAGGAAAATGACTGGCACAGGAATAGGTCTGTGTGGGTTTTCACTTGTTTGTGAATTTAGTAGACCAATGAAAAAATGTTTCCAGGTATTTTAATCGCACCTGGACATAACAGACTCATGTGCACTGGTTTAGGGGGGGAAAATGGTGTGAACTGTAGGATATTTTCTGACTTCCAATGATAATTCCCATGTATTCGTGAAGGCTTTCATGGCCGGGATCTAATGGTTGTTGTAGGTTTTTCGGGCTCTTTAGCCATGTTCTGAAGGTTGTTCTTCCTAACGTTTCGCCAGTCGCTGTGGCTGGCATCTTCAGAGGACAGCACTCTGTGCTCTGGTGTAGCTTGCTTGGGAATGGAGTATTTATGGCTGTGAGATAGGCTTCTGTCCTATTCAGGGGGTGGGTGATTGGTGTGTCTTGTGACACACTAGCAAGACACGGCCAAAGAGCCCGAAAAACCCACAACAACCACGATAATTCCCATGTTTGTGGAATGTAAACATGTCTTATACTGTATATGTAGGAGTGTATGTGCTTGCAGAATCAACCATTGTCCAAAAACACATGCAAAAATAAAAGTAAAATAAAGTGAGAAAAATAAAACTAAGGAATTTTCAGATGCCAGTGAGCTCCAGTGTCTTGTCAGTGAAAAATAAATTAAATTTCCCCTGAAAGGAGAGAGCTTGCTAACAACCAGAGTATGTCACTTCTGCTTTATCACATCAAGGTTTGCGAAAAAAGAAATGAAAACAAAAATACTATGGAACATTATTTGTTCCAATACTTTATACAGGAGGGTGCAAAGCAGGTGCCTTAAATGACCCACATGAGTCCACAGCCAAGCCTTATGTGTGATCTAGGTCTTTTCATCAACTCCCTGTTCTGTGTCTCCTGGAGGCTTGTCCTCAAGATATGAATTTATGTCTTTGGGGGGGGCAGGTGTCAAACTACATTGTACAGTTAGCCAATCATTAGAGGCAGAACTCCTTTAAGAATCATAAGACATCTGTTTTTCCTAGCACAAACTGTCCTCAAGTTGCAAATTAGCTTGCTTTGTTTCATAATGGTTCACCAAGAGGTAAATATGCATCTCATTCACAAGTCTGATCGATAATTCATGGAGCATTGAAGGAATTATATCCTTGGAAGGAAAATAGGACTTTTAACTGAAAAGTTGTCACCTTGTATAGTTTGAGCTCAGTGTAATTATATTAGCATTTTAGGAGTCGAGGGAAAAAATGTAAACCATTGCCGTATTCAGTCATTAAGGAACTGTGTGGAGCTCCATTGTTTCACTGAAGAAACTGTATAACTTTCTAAGAGAGGGAGGCTGCTTATCTAAGTAGTCTGTCAATATGAACCAGAATGCCAGTTGGTGGATGGTGGTGGAATTTACTCACCAGGGGAAGCTCAAAGTACTGTACATCAACCTCCCCTTCTTCAGACAGCCATTTTTCGATGTTTGGTACAATGATGGGGGGACTCAGAGAGTAGAGCTAGCATGCTCTTCTCAATGCATGTGGGTTTTACATGCTTAATTAATGACTAAATAAGGCTGTAGTGGATCTGGCTACACTTCCAGGCTGAATGTGGTCTTTTCTAATCTTTCTTAAAATTAAGCCAGAGTCAAGCAACTCCAGAGGGCTACGGGCTACACACTCCCAATTCTGCACCTTGGAGGATATCACTTCCCTTCCCTTCTCCAAGCTGACTAGCAACTGGCTCAGCACCTTCATTGGCTGCCTTATCAGGAGGACAAGCAGTGTTTCTTTTAAAGATGTGTTTGCCAGACCTACCCATAAAAGACACATTAGATGCTCTTCTAATATTTTGGTCTCAGTCTGCCTGAATCAGAATGGCTGGAACATAAGAGCAGCTAGCTCAGTTTCAGAGGACCCTTTCCTTTGACTCCATAGATTAAATGAACTCACCCCCTTCCATACCAGTACCATAATTACTAGGAACTGCTAGGAAGCAGTTGCTCCTACTGAGAAGGAATGCAATACATCTTCAGTGCACTCTAGTAATGGGAACTATGAGAGTGGATATAAAACAGAAGAATAGCAGATTCTTTGCCAAATGAGAGACGAGTGTGTGAGATACATAATCTGAGGGGGCAAACTAAAACATTTAGCAAAGTCCGAATAGTCAGAGCTATGGTTCTTCCTTTCATGATGTATGGAAATGAGAGCTGGACCATAAAGAAAGCAGACTGCTGAAGAATTGATGCCTTTGAATTGTGGTGCTGGAGGAGGCTCTTGAGAGTCCCCTGGACTGAAAGGAGAACAAACCTATCAATTCTAAAGGAAATCAACCCTGAGTGTTCACTGGAAGGGGACGACAGAGGATGAGATGGTTGGACAGTGTCATCGAAGCTACCAACATTAATCTGACCAAACTTCGTGAAGCAGTGGAAGATAGGAGGGCCTGGCATGCTGTGATCCATGGGATCACGAAGAGTCGGACAGGACTAAACGACTAAACAACAACAACATAATATTATAATGTGGTTCATATAATTAAATCAGATAGCAGGAGATAAGTTTGGAGAGAGAAAAGATACTGACTCTGAACTTTGTCCACAGACATGCAAAGCCAGATATGATACAGTTTTTGTTTCAAGCCAAGCAATCACAGGAAAGATGCTGAAGGCTTTAAAGTATATTTATTATATAGTTTGAAATACTATTTCAGTTTCCCCATAGAATCAGGTTATTTTCCCTAAAAGCTTTGGCAGTTAATGAAACCAATGGCAAATTTTTAAAAAGAAAACACACCTTTAACTGCTTGTACTGAAAAGTGTCAAGAGGAGCCTTGTAGCACATTGGTTAAACTGCCGTACTGAAGCCAAAATTCTGCTCATGAACCAGGTTCAATCCCAGGTAGCTGGCCTGAAGTTCACTTATCCTTCCATCCTTCCAAGATTGTTGAGTACCCAGTAGAAATGGGGGTATTCAAATTTGTATACACATATACCCCCCCACAGGTGAACATAACGAGGGTTCGGCCCCCCTGGGGTGGGACAGCCCCTGGGGCCGGACTGTCCACTCACCGTCCACTATTGCAGCGGGTTCTGGGCTCTTTTCCTCTTGCTCTGGAGTGCTCAGCCAGCCAACCACTCTTTGACCTGGCAGAGAGACTCGTCGTCGTGCCTTCTGCCAGGAGTGGCTAATCATCCGCGAGCTCCGGAGTGATAGGAAAGTAGCGCAGAGCCTGTGGGAGCAGTGGATGGTGAGTGGCCAATCTGGCCCCAGGGGACCAGACCCTCATTATGTCCACCTGTGCGGGGTATTTGTATACAAATATGAATACCCCCATGTCTAGTAGCCAGCTTGTAGAGGTGGGGGCAATGTGGAGCCTGCATAATTAAATTGTAAACTGTCTAGAGAGTTCTTTAAGCACTATGGGGCAGTATATAAACAGCATGCTTTGCTTTATGCTTTTGGTTTTAAAGATAGCTTTTCATCCCTGCTCTGCTGTGAAAGATCACTAGAGATGTGGAATGGGTAAACCACTACTTAAATATCCCATTTAACTTGAAAATCATATTAGGGTTGCTATATGTTGCTTCCGATTTAATGGCACATAACAATAATTGTGTGTTATCAACTCAGTTCTGACTTATGCAGGGTTTTCCCAGTAGACAATACTCAGGAGTGGTTTACCATTCCTTCTGGGGATTCCCTGGGGCTATGCAACTTGCCCAAGGCAAAAAAGGCTGGCTCTTTTCCCAGGAGGCACAGTGGGGAATCAAATTCCCAACCTCTTGCTCCACAGCCAGATACCTAACCCACTGAGGTATATAAGGTACAAAATTAATCAGTAGTGGTTAATAGCCATTCAAGTTGGTATATTTTTGCTATGTGTGCCATATGTGGAAGGCTCTCTTTTACCTGTGTCTCTTGATAGCAAGTTATTTGCTGGTTTCCTAAGTATTCATTTGAGTCTCTTATCTGCTGACAGTTACATCCTCTGCCCTATCAAAG